CTTGTTTCATCTGAGCAAACACTTTCATGGTGAGGGGAAGGAGCACAGGGCACAGGGGTCAAGGGCAGTACCTTGTACCCGGCCCTGGAGAACTCTATGCATCACTCAGGTGGAGCAGAAGCCTGGCCCTCCACTGCTCTTGTGAGGAAGGAAGACAGATAAGCTGAGCTGACCGTGTGGCTCCACAGTCCTCCAGACCCAATCTCCTCCTGCCACAGGACTCCCCTAGAAGAGCGTTTTCTGTTTCCTCCTCAGGCCTCCATTCCTAACCCATTACCCCTAGCAAGATTACCAGAGGGTTAGTGCTTATGAGAGCCTCAGATATTGTCCTCTGTTGTTGTCTGGAACCAAACTTTGGGACCTACAAAATCTGTAATATGTTCAAAGGAAGGACCAAGAGAGAGTCCTAAAAGATGAGAGTACTTGCTGGGTCATAAGTCCTGTCAACCTAACTGGAACTCTTAGAAAACATTTTGGGTAAAACCAGTGCTAACTTGATGGGCCCTGGGGCACATTGACCATCTCCCTCTACCCCCATCCCCTCTCCATCATAGACAAAAATCCAGTGCCTCATCCCAGCTTCATCTGTCTGAGTCCCTCCCTGTTGCAGGATTCTGACTTGGATTTTTTATTGTCTATAGGTGGAATTCATTAGGTTCTGTCATTCTAACAGCTCACGGGAGAAGCATATTTTCTCTCTAAATGCAGATATTCTTTTGAAGGATTGTGTCTTTATCTTTTGCAGAGGAATCACTAAATTAAAAGAATTGCCATTTTAAATTGCAGATTAAAGAGAAACTTAATTAGAAGGGATGAAAGCAGTTATGTTTGGGGCTTTTGTTCTTATTCCCCCACCCCCCACCCCTTTGACTGCCGAATCACTGCACTTGGAGTTTGTATATTTGTATTTTAGGTGAAATGATTTGCCTAATTAAGCCTGTCATTCATCCCCACCTGTTCTCTAAAATACATGACTACATTATTAAGCTTGCCGGCAAATGTATAAATTAATTCAGTGGGGAATTAGTGTTGACTAGGATGTTCTTAGGTTTTATCCAATTTATCAGGTAAGAAAACCGATATTTTTTCCCCTAATAAAGCAATACAGCAGCTCATTAAATTTCTTCATTTAAGGCATTCATTAAACACCTAGTACCATGTATAGCTACTGTGGTAGGCATGGAGGGAAAAGGAAACTGATAATTAGGGTACCATGAACTGAAGTCAAAGGGAATCTGGGGAGAGGTGAGTTCAGGGAATGCTTCCTGGAAGGGCTAGTACAAAGGGTAATAGAATCAGGTGTAGAGATCAGCAAGACTTGAGTTTGAGCAGGCATCCGGGCCCTGGAGGGCTTTACAGACTACAGAAGACCTTAGGCTCCTTCCCTCTTCTCTGGTCTATTCTCCCTTCCCTCCCTCTGTGGCAGAAAGTCTGTTGGGGATTAGTATTGCCTGAATCCCTCAGTTTCTGATTTCAGCCAGTAGAGCTTGTCTTTCCCTCTCTGACCTGTGGTAAGATTAAGCCTAGAGCCTCACCTCCTTACTACCCACACATCCTGCTGAGCTTCAGCCTCCTGCCCACGACAGTCAGTGCCTTAGCAGAGGGGAACATATAACAGATGGGAACTGGCCCCATCTCAGTGGGGTGCTGCCTTCCCTGGCCCTGAATCGATCTGGCAGTTCTCCCTGACTCACACATACAAGGAAACGTGTGCCATTGGAATCACCTTCTTCTTCATACTATCGTCGCTGAGCAGTCCCAGGGCCCTGCTTCACGTTGTCCATAGCCACCCTATCAAGAGACAGGGTTTTCTCATGTCAACCTGAGCGTGTCATTATCTGGCATCATCAGGAAGGTGCTCTTTTGCTGCCCCTTACCTGTCCATTGACATCACTGCTCACTTTCACGCCAGGGTGCCCACCAAGGGCTCTTCAAGGTGGGTGCTTGGGTCAGAACCTGCTTTACCACTTCATTCCCTGCCCAAAAACATGTATACCATCTGACCAGCTGCCACGAGAGTTATGTGGTTCAGAGGGGCTGAGGGAGTGATTGGAGTGGTGGAAGGCTAGAGGGCCAGATGCCCATGGCAGCAGGAATGCCAGGGCCCGGTTCTAGCTCTAGGCTTTACCCCTTCTCTCTGGCCCCCAGCACAAGAGCCCTCTCCTGCACCAGATGGAAAAGGGCTTGGGCGTCTCCTTGCACTATCCCCTTCTGGCCAAGGCCAGCCCCATCCTCCAGTGCTCAGGCCCAAGCCTGCTATTGTCCCTGATCCTCTTTCTCCTCTTGTGCTCTACTTGGAGTATGGGAATGAGCTTTCCCCTTTCCCAGTGTTGCCCCTCTACCCATATCCTCTCTTTTACTTAATAAACAATTTGGTAGAGCTGTTTTAAATTCTCAGAAAAACTGAGTGGAAAGTACAAGGTCCCACATACCCCAGCCCCTCCATCTCTTTTTAGCCAACCTAACAGAAAGTCTAAGGTGAACAAGTTCCCCACCAAAACTAGAATGAAATCCAGACTCTCCAGACCCCTGAGGGCTGGCTCTCTTGGCCCTTCCACCTCTCAATGCTTAAACCTTGGGCCACCTCATTGCCTGGACTCTGCTCTTCCCTCTTCTAGGACTGCCCTTCCCATGGTCATCCCCCTTCCCATCTGCTGCTTACTCAGACAACATCCCTGCCCCATCCCACCGTATTTGTCTGTCTGATGCTGTCATCAGCTACTGGCATGCTGGCTTATTTATTCCTGCCCTTCCTCACCAGGAATCTGAGCTCTCATGTGGACATTTTTTTGTTTTGTTTTGCTCACCACTGTTTTCCTGCCCTTAAAAAGTGCCCCACACTGTGATTGAGTGCTACATGTGAATCTTGGGTAGACAGGCTGGCCACATGCTCTGCATAGTCAAGAGAGTAGGTAGGTCCAACATATCTAGAGTCTTAGATTGGCAAGAACTTCCCTCCCGTTTTTCTTATTTTCTTTTTTCTTTTTTGTTTTGTTTTGTTTTGTTGGTCATAGAGCTTGAACTCAGGGCCTGGGTGCTGTCCCTGAGCTCTTTCCCTCAAGACTAGCACTGGACCACTGTGAACCACAGTACCACTTCCAATTTTCTGGCAGTTAACTGAAGATAAGAGTCTCATGGACCTTCTTGCCTAGGCTGGCTTTGAACTGCAATTCTGAGATCTCAGCCTCCTGAGTAGGATTACAGGTGTGAGCCACCAGCACCTCAGTTTTCTATGTGTAACATTGCCATAGGCGGGGCTGAGATCTTCCATGCCCAGGCTTGGCCAAGGACATGGGGTTAGAGATGCATCTGGACTGACCTGGAGCTGTTCTGCAGGCCTGCACCTGGCTGACCTGGCAACCTCTGTGTATTCTAGTGCCTTCGCTCATCTATCTTCACCTCACCCCAGTGAAGTAGGATATGGGAGCTGAGAAAGGTTGAGTAACTCAGCTGAGGCACCACTGAGAATCAATAGACATAGAAGAGGAGTGGAGGGGGCTGGGAAGTTGGCTCAGTGGTAGAGTGCTTGCCTTGCATGCCTGAGGCCCTGGGTTTGATTCCTCAGCACCACATAAGCAAAAAGCAAAAAGCCAGAAGTGGCGCTGTGGCTCAAGTGGTAGAGCGCTAGCCTTGAACTGAAGAGCTGAGGGACAGCGCTCAGGCCCAGAGTTCAGACCCCACGACCGGACCCAAAAAAAGAAGAAGAGGAGTGGAGGGGTTGGGAATAATCTATTAGAAGAAGAGTGGAGCTCAGCTTAATTTGATAGCTGATATGAAGTCTCATATCTTCATTGTGAAGATGTGATCCTCATAACAATATAGGTATATGATAACTGCATCTAGCAAAGGACTACCTGCCAGGTACTCTGCTAAGATGATTGTGTACCTCACCTCATTTCATCGCCATAAAGTGGGGCTCTTATTACCCCTGTCTTTCAGAAGGAAACTGAGGCCCAAAGGGAAGACTTGCAAGTGGACTAGCTGGTCCCCAGGAACTCTCTAGCATCTCTAGCTCATTGTCCTTTCTGTAGCGTATTTGTGCCCTCCACAAGCCTATAAAAGGCACATGACAGGAAGGAAAGTAAGTGAGAGAGCCCAGCCTCCATCCTCAAGCTCATGTGCTGCTTTAACCTCACTGTGTCTGGATCATGCAGCATCCAGTATGAGGAGAAGCAGGCTCTGTGACAACATGACACCCCAAGGAGAACTCTATGAGGTTGGCCCAGCAGAAAGGGGCAGATGGAGCAATTGTGGCCTAGATGGGATCATAGAATGGGAGGAGAGGAGCCTCATGGCGGCAGGTTTCCCACACTGTGCGGAACAGCTCTTCCCTAAGAACCATCCAGAGGGCCTAGCACCCTTGCTAGAGTTGGAGGGAGAATCTTGTGTGCTTAGGGCTCGCTAACTAGCCTTTGGAGACACATGCAGCCCCTCAGTCTCACTTGGCACAGCCAGGTAGCCCCTGCATGTCCTGTCTTGAGAAGCTGTCTTGGCCTGTTTTATGGTTATAATAAATCTGAGGCTGGTTATTTGTAAAGAAGAGGGGATTGTTTTGGCTCACGTTCTAGAGGCTGAGAAGTCCAAGGGCATGATACTAGGGAGGAGGGTGTAATACCTTTTCCAACTGCTGGCAGAAGGCAGAAGGGTGAGTGGGCAGCTTCAGAGGAGAGAAAACAGCAGAGGCAACCTGGCTCTATAATAACCCAATCATATCACCATCACAGTAGCCTTCTAGTTCACAAGGAGTCCAACCCCACCTCCCAAACACCTTGCACTAAGCCCCACCTTCCAACACTGTGCCTTGAGCAATTAAGGTTCCAATACTTTAGCTTTTGGGGCTATGCTCAAAACCGTAGAAGAAGCCAGTGTTTGGCGCTTTTTCATTGCATGAAACTCTGCCTCCACCAAACTGTAAAATACAACTAAATAAGTGACTGTTGTTTGAAACTGTGTTCCTTGCAGAGCCACCTGGTAACCATGCTCTTTCTTTGCTCGCTCAGCCCAGTTCAATGGCAACGAGAAGCGACAGTCATCCCCCTCACCTTCGAGGGACCGGCGGCGCCAACTTCGTGCTCCAGGAGGGGGCTTCAAGCCCATCAAACATGGGAGCCCGGAGTTCTGTGGGATTCTGGGGGAGAGAGTGGATCCTGCTGTCCCACTAGAGAAGCAGATGTAAGTTCTGTGGATCAGCGTCCAACACCAACCCCAGTATATCTCATTGCTGTGAACCTCTGTTTCTCATTATTGTAAACCCCAGTGTATCTGATTGCTCTGCCTCTGTTCATTGATTTGCCTTGGGAGTGCAGGAGTTATAGGGCCTTTTTGCCCCTCATTTGCAGAGGCTGTAGAAGAAGCAGCCCTAGGACTAGAATGTATGTCTCATGACTCCTGGGCCTGGCCATGTCCTTCCTCCTGATGTTAACACCACTACCCTCAATGGCTAGTCAAGAGACCGAAAAATAATCTGTGTGTGGTTTAGCCCTCCCAACTTGAGCTGAGTAGGTTCCTCATAAGCCTTCCTTGTGGGTATCATGTGTTGTATCAGTCTTGGCCCTGGGGACTCTGGTCTTGCTTAGCTGGTAGTGCTTTTCTCTCCCCACCCCCAACAGGAAAGGCTGGCTGGAAGAGCAGGATGCAAGGTTTTCCGAATGATGTCATGTTCTGCCCTTGGAAGTGTGTGCTGTTGTCCTGGGAGGCTGCAGTCTCCTGCCTCCTGGAGCTTGCTGGGAGCCCAGCCAGTGTGGTTAATCAGCTCTCACAGCCACGCAGATTGTGCAGCCAGCTTTGCTTATTTCTGATCAAACTGTGCACTTGTTAATCAACAAACAGAGCAGAGACTCCTGGAAGCCAGCCCATGTGCAACCTGACTTTCAGTGGCCAGGCCTGCCTGGGTTAGCTAAAGTCTCCCCATTCTCTCTCTACTCCCAGATGAAGCTGGATGCCCTTCCTTTCCCATTTCTGCCCAAGAAGACCCTCAGCAAGTCCAAAGACATGTCTGCCTTTCCTTCCCATATAACCTGTTCTTCCCAGGGTTATCCTGGCCTTCCAGAAGTCCTGAAGTTCCTTCCTCAGAGATGTGTTTAGGTAACTCCTCTACTTTCAGTGCAGCCTCATACAGACAAAGGATCACCTGCACCCCAACCCCATCTTACATCATTGTTATGACCAGCTTGTAAACACAAACTTTGCTGAAGGAAGTAAAGAAAATAAGCTTGACTTGCCCCTATGGAAAACAAGCCCTGTAAGAGCAGAAACTTTTCTGAGAGACCATCACACCAGAACTGTGGCTAGAACATGGACCATGTCATAGGGCCTGAATAAACAATTCTCAGCTCCTTTTCTGTTTGAGTCCCCAGACAGCCCACTCCATCCTCTATGGCAGTGGGCACACCTGACAGCTCCCTCCTCTTGGGACCTCCATTGTCTCCTGCCTTTTTGTCCATTCTTCTCCCCAGCCACTCCTTCTGGCACCTTACCCCTCCTTGACCTGGGCTCAGTGTCCAGTTATGTGCATCCCTGAGTACTCTCTCCCATGATGCTGGTAATGATTCACCTTTCCCAGAGGTCCTCACTCCTATACCTGGCTACCTCCCTGGCATTTCAAACTCAATGTAATTAGAACTGGGATCTTGACCACCTAGGAATTTGCTCCTCCCCAGCTTCCACATCTGTCTAGTTACAACTGAGGCCACAAACTTGGAGTCCTGTTGATTCCGTGTTCTGTCTTATGTCAACATCTGCTTCCATTACCAAGTTCTGCCATTTTTTTTCCTCCACAAAACTGAGTCTGTCCACCTCCCTCTTCTGCACAACCAATGCAGCAACCTCTGACTTTTCCTCCTGCTTCCCTCTGAGTTGTCCTCAGAGCAGGCTGGTTGATCTATAAGGTCATTCAAAGCAAATATAACAATGTATATATAACACGCTCTTTCCAACATGTTTAGGATGAAATCAGACTTGTTTCCTTGGCCCATAAGGCCTCACTCATAACTGGAAAGTCCATTCTCATCCTGTACCACTCAGTGCTCACAGTGCTTGCTACCTATCTGCTGTGTAAACATCCCAAGCACATTCCTGTCTCAGGACCTATACACTTGCTATTTCTTCTGGGCTCTTTACACAGTTGGCACCTCAGGATTTTCAGATAAATAGTCTCAGGGTGGGGGTAGGGGGAGAGCTCTCCTGTCCTTTATTCTACAGCTGCTCCCTCCCCTCCACAGTCCTTGCTTTGCCACAGCCTTTGTATAGCAATTGTCACTATCTGGGATGGTTTCTTGTATCTGCTTGTTGACTCTGCCTCTCCACGTCAGCCTGATGAGATCAAGGCTGTAGGGAGCAGTAGTAAGTAAATATTGGATGAGCCAATGGATATTGAATGGAATGAATGGAAATAATTGAGGCTCCCTAATGCCCTGGTTTTGACCTGGCTGGCCAGTAAAGGGTCTCGCATGTCCCCAAAATAGCTTCCTGCCTAGTCTCTTTTCATTCCAGGCAGAGCTTACTTAGGCCCAACAGTTGGTCCCCACCCCCACAGACCCACAGAAGCTCAGCCTGGCTCCCTGTCCTGCTGACAGGCTGCCGGTGGCTGCCTGGCTCCTGACCCAGTGCCCTTTACCCTTAGTCTCTCCTTTGATCCTAGACCCTAAGACCATGCTTGTGCCTTTCCCTTTTCTGGGAGTGCCAGGAAAGACTGGTAGCTAATCCTGTTTATCACCCAGGGAACTATCCTTAACAGGGATCCAGAAACACGCCCTGCCCCTCACCCAACCTCCACCCTCTGCAGCCCATTTGAGCCAGCCTCACTTGTGTGATCAGGGAGGGGCTGGCCGTGGGCAGCTCTTCCCCAGAGGCCACTTCCAGACCTTCCCTGAGGATGGCTGTGCTTCAAATGGCTGGAAGCTGTTTTCCTAATAAAACATTTGTCAGCTCGCTGGGGGTGTGCTGCGCAGGCAGGCTCTCTGGAGGGTATCACATCAGTCTGTTGCCTCTCATTTCAGAAGCCAGCTCTGTCCTTGTCTCTTTGTTTCTTCCCATAACAGCACTCTAAAGCATAACTTGGGCCTTGGCACACCTGAAAACATTTTCACTATGGCCCTCTCCTCTTGTGTATCCCCAACCCTACCCTCATGTTTCTGTGTAAGTAGAGAGAAAGGCAGGTCACCATGTACCCCCTGCCAAGCATTCTGCTGGGCTGCTCAGCCCTCTCTAGAGAGAGGTCCTCCATTTAGGCTCTGTCTATTCTCCAGTCCTCAGTATTCTAGGACCCAAGTCTTTTTTAGGTTTTGATGTACCATGCCTCGCCTGTTGGCTGGATGTCACTGTGGTATCAGTGGCAGGAAGCACACAGTGACCTGCAGCAGAGGTTTGTCTAGGTAGAATGTCAAGGTACACAAGTGAAGGCAGAATACCCACATCAGCTGGGCTAAAACACAACGAGGACTACACAAATGACATCTTGAAGTCCTGATAGACAGATAGCATCCTCCACTGTTGAAAACACTCCTCTCCAGAACATACCCAAACTCTTCCATGAGTCATCCAATCCCAAAGGGATTGGCATGGCCCTAAGTTGGTATACAGACAAAGCTCAGCCACCTTCAGTGGCACGTCCAGCTGTGGCCTCTGGAATGGTGAGACAGACTCCAGGCTCCACATCTCTATCTCTTCTTGTAACCTATGGACACCAGCCCCCACCCCCACCCCAGGCTCTTATATTCACTCATGAGTTTGAGGTATATGTACCCTCCTGTTGGTATTGAGTATTTTAACCCTTCCACTGACATTTCCCTTCCAGCTTTCCCAATCATAAAAGACAATGTCCTGATTTCTGGTGATGTCATTCTTGTGGATATGCATAGATCCTTCTCCATCCCCTCTGGCATGAGTAGTGTCTGATATTCTCCTCTACCTAGAGGCATCTGGCAGGAGCATTGTGTAACACCCCTGTCCTGAGTTAGCCTCTCCCATGTCACAGACAGTGTCAGAGTGGCCTTTCTGTCAGCACCTAATGTGGCTTTCATATCCTTCAGAGAAATGCTCCTGGCCTGTTCCACCTTGACCTGGGGCCACACTGCCCACTCCTATCCTTGTGACCTTTTTCCAGCCACTTGCTTCTTCTGGCTCTTTCCATAGCCTGCACAGGTGACTCCTCAGGCCTTTGCCTCAACCCCTCTGTCCTCTGCCAGAAAAGCTCCTTTCTAACCACTGTTCTTCATGGCTTCCTGGGGTGTCATTTTCTCCACCGGCTTTCCTGCCTAAAATCACAGTACCCCGCATTCCCCAGCTTCACTTTACCTCCATAGCACCTGGCACCCCAGGTTTGCTGTGTGACCCCAGAGGGTTGTGAACCTCAAACAAGATAGTTTGACTAGATTTGACTCTCTCTTCTCCCCTCAGGATCTGGCATTTGGCAGGTACTCAGAAAACAGCTGTTGAATTATGGAACAAATGCAGGCACCTGGGAGGCTGGGAGTTGGCAGTTGCCATCTGAGGGGACCAAGCCTCTCTCTGAAGTCACTGGGAGCACCCTGTCCTTGCTGGGCTCTGACTGAGCTCTGCTTTCTCTCCCAGATGGTATCACGGAGCCATCAGCAGAGGAGATGCTGAGAACCTGCTGCGACTCTGCAAGGAATGTAGCTACCTTGTCCGCAACAGCCAGACCAGCAAACACGACTACTCCCTGTCCCTGAAGTAAGTACAGTCCACACCTCCATAGCACACCACCACTGGCCCATGGGGGACGGCCCTGCAGTCCCTGGGAAACTTCCTAGCAGGAGTTACTTCAGCCTTGGTCTTTCAATTTGGTCTCATTCTCTTGAGGCACACAGGAGCTATTCTGGTTACCTCTGCTTCCTTCCAGAGAGGAGGTCTTTGTCCTAGGGATTATAGTAGCCCTGCTGTCACTCAGGCCACCAACCAGAGTCTGTACCAGGCTCTCAGCATCTCTCATTTTGGTCTCAAACCTAACTTCAGCCCTTTGATGAGGAACATACTGTTCCCATTGTGCAGCCTGGGAAACTGAGGCTCTCAGAAGCAGTAATCAACCCAAGGGGCAAGGCCAGGACTACAGAGTGGCCATCTGACCCCTTTCTTCACACGTGTGGGTTGTCTTATAGGCAGGCCTGGCTAATGGTTAGGAGGAACTGGAGAGAGCTGTGAGGCATCCTGCTGTGTTACTACCTGTGGCTGTTCTGCATACTGTCGGGTCTTCCTGACCTGTGAGGAGTTGATGTCAGGTATAAGAGAAATGTCACAAATAAAAGGGAGTTTGGTTGGGCGCTGCATCATTCAGTGCTATTGCTGTGTGGGACCCAAGGAATCTTCTAAAAACCCATTTTAGGGCTTTTTAACTCCCCAGGTAGGGGAGTTATAAGCCAAGTCCAGCACTGGAAGAGAACACGTTTTTCTAATAGCTGATTAAAAAAAAAAAAAAAGAAAGTCAGCCCAAGTGGCCTGAAGATAGCAAATCTTATCATTGAGGGAAGTCAAGGAGAATGTGCAACTGAAGGCTAGGAAGATATAGAGAATTTCTATCCAGCTGGGAGAAAATACTCAACACAAAAAGTAGGAGTGTTGCTGTTCCCCAAGCCTCTGGTTTCTACATGCCTCATTGTGATCATCTCTGATAGCTTGAAGGATTCAAGAAATCATGGCAGTGGAGGGGACTTCAGTGTGCTAAACCACACCTGGGCTGACAGGCTGGGTTGAGGCAAGATGGGGTCAGGGAGCACGTGCACCCTGTGCACACTGATGGCCAAGGCTGCTGACTCCCGGCTAATCTATACCTTTACTCAGATAATCTTGCAACCTAGGAATGACACTCTCCTGAGATGCAAGACTCAAGAAAAACAAGTGGTATCAGCCATCAGTCACCTGTGTGGCCAGCCTTCTCTGCAGATCCAGGCAGCCCGCTGACTCTCTGGGACACTGGTCTTGCTAGGCTGTTGCTCCTCACCCTGTAGTCTCTCTGGCATTCATTTCCTCTAGAATTCTTGCTGCCTGGGAACCAGCCAGTGGTATCTCTATAGAAGTCCTGGCTGGATGCACAGCAGAATAAGGGACAGACTGTCCCACTCCAAGCCCTGCCATTCCCCAAGGGGCCAGGACCTGACCAGGCTTGGGTTTCCTCTTTGTGCATGTCAGTAGGCTAGGCCTGAATTGAGCACACTGGCTGGGTACCATGGCCATGCAGTACTCCATATCCCCGCATGTGTGGATATGGAGTATCTATTGAGTACTTAGTCTACTAAGTACTCGAACATGCCATGGCTGTGTTGCCAACAAGAAGAGCCTAGAACCAGTTACCAAAGTAACACCACTTATATCTTGCAGAGACCATTTCTCCATCTCTGTGCAGCATCCCCTACTTACACAGCCCCGATGTTACCTCACAGATAGGTTGCAGAGGGCCAAGGGCTTAACCTGCTTTGTCCCTGGTATATGCCATGCGTGAGCCACCAGCGCCCAGCTTGCTTCAAGTCCATTTTTAAGAGGCCTGAGGTCTCAGATCTTGGACGGACATCCTTTCCCGCCACTCAGCTCTCACTGTGTGATCTTGGGCAAGTCCTTCCCTTCTCTGGATTGGTGTCCACAGTTGCCTAATGAGATTTGGACTTTGATGGTCCCTAGAGGCACTTCCACCTCTACCAAGGTATTTCCTGACTCCTTACATTTCCCCATCTGTGCATGCAGCCCTCTTTCTCTTTGGCGGGCTCTGGCTAAATTAACGCACCTCCTGTCCCAGGAGAGGAACCATAGCAGCCTCTAGGACCCAGGACAAGTGCCAGGATCTGATTGGCTGCACCTGTCCTGTCTGATCTAATCATGAGAACTGTGGTTCAGGTGACTGCTCTTGCCCAAAGGAGCTAGAAATGGAAAGTTTAGTCTGCATGCTTGTCTGAAGCCATGAGCTCACTTCCTTCCCCCAAGACCAAAAGACCATGTCACCCAATCCGCCTTCCTTTTAAGAACCCCAAGTTAGGAAGGTCGACTTGCTTCCCAGAGTGACCCTAGCGCATTATGACCAATTCAGTTGCTGACTAGGGGACACCTGCCTGGCATTAATAACCTTGACCAAAAACAGAACAGCCTGGTACTGCAGGTCCTGGCTGCTTGAGACCGGCACCAGCTTTGCTAGCCATCGTGCATGAAGTGTGTGGGTTCTCACTTGGGCCTGCCTGCCAAAGCAGTGGGGAATGGCAACCCCATGCCTGCTCAGCGATCAGGAGTGCAAATAGACATTGGAATTCCAACTATGCTAGTTCTGCACTGCTGGCCACTTTCATGTGAGCCTCAGGTCCAGCCCTGAGAGTGTACTAGGGGTGGAGAAGGTATTGAGATGAGACTACCCCCAGAGGACCAGGCCCTCCATCCACTCTGTCCTCCCTCAGAAGGTACTTATCAGAGCCTTCTGTACCAGGCACTGGGTTAGGCATCAGAAAGAGCCAAGGTAGACAGCCAGACCCTAGCTCCAAGGGCTCACAGCTGGCCAGTTCAGCCTGTGCCTTGCTGTACACAGGTCTCCCCAAAGGATCTTTAGAGTCCAGCGTTGGCTTATGGGGGTTGGGCAGCTGTGCCACAGAGGGCTGGAAGAAGCTGCAGGAGGAGGCTGCAAGTGAGTCTTTAATGACTAGATGAGCATCTCAGTGGGAGGCACAGCCCTGGACATACCAAAGAGCTCCTTCCCAGAGGAGCTGTTAGTGTCTATTTCTTAGTATAGAAGTCACAGACTTACGGATACCTCTGAATCCTGTTGGCCTGAACTTAAATCCCACTTCCCCTGGGTATCCATAGACAAGACATTTTAGACAGCCTGCTTGCTTTCCCTAGAATGGCCCTGAAGAGGGTGGCTGGGGCAAATGCCCAAACTCCATCATCTGAACATACTGGGAGGTGAATGGCCCGAGGCCAGCTGAGGCCAGAACAGAGGTGGTTGGACATTCCAGCCTCCGCCCCAGCTCTTCTAACCCTGGGTCAGAAGGCCTTCCAGTGGCTCTCAGTGCTAGCTTGGAAATGGCCTTAGTGGCCTTTCTAGTTCCGTCCCTTTGCCTCATGAGTGAGGAACTGAGCCCAGTTGAAATTCACAACCAACCCCCCTCCCATCCTGTCAGGCTGCCTACTTGGCACTTAACCACAGGCATGATACAGGTGGTGATGACTGGCCACACCCCCTGGATCCAGCCAGGCTGGCCCTTATGTAACCTCCCAGGAAACCCAAGAGAATGATGATACTCCATCCCCATCACGTCTTAGTGCCCCTCCGTGACAGAGCCCCTGCTTGTGAAGCTGACTGTGGAGATCCTATAAATGGCTTTTGTCACTCCCCTGTCCCTCTTGCCACCTCCAGCCTGACTGGATGGGTTCAAGCTGACCCTGCATCCATGGCTGGCCCCAGAGGCTTCTCTGTAGCCAATGGAAGCCTTCAAAGGGCTGGGACTTTTAAAATTGGCAAGAAAACATGAAACACACACTTTTTCTTATGTCTGGAAAGGCAAGTAGGGTAAATCGATGGAAAGTCATGAGAAATCTCAATTAAAAGCGTTCTCCAGGCACTTTTGACTCTTGAGTGGCTCCTCACAAGGTTCGGTTTCACAAGCTTTTGCAGAGAAATCTGGACAAAATAAGGAAAAGGAGACTTCAAAGACTTCAGAGTTTGCAGCTGGTAGGGAGCGGGGGAGTCCCTCATGGGCAGAGGAAGGGGGCTGTCCTTGGAATAGAGGCATATGCAGTGGTGCTGGGGCACTGGGAAGTCCTCATCCCCGTGGGGCAAGTGACCTCTTAAAGACTTTCCAAAGGGCCTTTGGGCTTTCACAGCAAATCTCCAGCTTCCTTGCAGATGTGACCTCAGAGAGGCTTTTGGTACCTGACTTGCTACCACAGCCCCTTCTGCCCTTCCTCAGCCCTTTAAGCTCCACCCCACTCAGGGACAGTTCTTGCACTCCAGCCAACAAGAGCCCACATCTGACAAGATGGAGGACATGGACACATGAAACACGTGTGGAAAATAGAAAGCAAGAGGGAAGGTACTAGAGAAAGGGTTGTTTAAAGGATGAAGAAGTCTTAAACCATGAACAGTAAGAGTAAAATGAGCACAGAGGCAGGGATTGTGGAAGTGTAGAACAACAAATATCACACTAAACTGCACCCAAGAGAGGAGAGGTGCAGCCCCCATTTCCAGGCCAAGGGGTTGGGAACCTTATCCCACAAGTCAGTGAGAGTCCTCAAGAGTCACAGCAGGGTGCAGTGATGCTCTCCAGGTTGAGTCTAGAACCACTAGTGAACTAAGCGCACCATAAGTGTCACCCAGGAGGTGACGGATCCTGCCCCCCTCTACCCATCCCTCACTATTCCAGTCTGCACAGTCTGCGTGCTGGCAACATAATGAGGAAACCCCAGGCTTTCAGGTCAGAGGTACCTGAAGCCAAATCCTGGCTTCATTGTGCACCTCTCACCACACATACTAGGCAAGTGACTGAGCCTCATCTAGAAACGAGGGCAGGCACTTTCGACTCATGAGTGGCTCTTCACAAGTTTTGGTTTCACAAGCTTTTTGCAGAGAAATCTGGACAAAATAAGGAAAAGGAGCAGAGCTGGCTCACAGCAGGAGGTCAACATGCCATGCTCTGCTCCTCCCCTCTTTTGTAGAGCCTTTAGAAATTGTCATGGAAGGAGTAGTGTGCACAGAGTCCTGG